AATTGCTCATATTTTTGGTAAACCCATTAAACTGGATGCTACAACTGAAAATTTTGGGAGACCATCCCTTGCTAGAGTCTGTGTTGAGGTTGACATCTCACAACCCCAAATTTCTAAATTCTTTGTTCAAAATGGGAGTCAACAACTTGCTCTTGAAGCCATCTATGAAGAGGTACCAGAATTCTGTCATACATGTAGAGGCATTTCCAGACATAACCCAGAATGCAAAAACCTCAAAAACAAGGAGGTCCAAAACAGCACTGTTCCGGCAAACAGTAACCGGAATATTCCCAAAGATAATTCTCAGCCAATACCAGCCACCAGGCAGGAGTACAAGAAAAAACAGCAAGTACAGACCCCCATGGAAAAAAATCTCATTCCAAACAAGCAAAACCAAAAAACCTCCTCTGACCCAAACTCCAATCCAGACATCCAAAACCAGAAATCCACAGACCTTGGCCCACTTTCCAATCAAACACATATCAACCACACTCCTCTCCTTCCAACTACTATGCAAAAACCACAAGACTCCAAACACTCTCAACCAACACCCCCTCTGCAAGATAATATACCCACACACTTATCACAACCTCCCGAAACAACCCCAACATCAAACCAACAGGCACTCTCCCCACTACATGACCAAACAACCCCACCTGCCCTAGTAGACAACTCACCTTAAACCACAGACAACCCACCCCCATTCACAAATCCCCTTCCAGACTCCTGCAACCACATAACCCAACACCTCCCTATTCCTGCACCTTCAACCTCATCCCCTGGCACAACCTATCAAACCACACAACTCCTCCTTCCAAACCCACATCAAACCCCCTCCAGCAACCACCACACTATTTCTGATCTAGAACTACTTCAAGGCCTAATGACAGAAGTCAGTGAAATTTGCAAACAAGGTATGAAAAGGGATTACCTCTCACAAGATGACTCCTACATTTCTAGCAAAAACTTTGACTACAATGTGGGATATCTCAGTGAAGGAGAACACAGAACCAAGAAACCTTCTTCCAACCATGTATTCATTCCTCCCCAGGAACCAGAGCACCCTCACACCACAGAGCCAGAGCATCTTCACACCACAGAGACACAGCAGCATACTGAACCATCATCTTCAAACACCCCTCTAGAATCTACAGCAAAAGGACACAAGAATGATAAAGCAGATATGAATGAATCCTACAACACAACTGTCTGGAAATCAATGAGGCTCCAACTTAACCATTCATCAGTCAATCACACCAAAGATAATTCTCAATGAACTGTCTCATATGGAACACCTGTGGCATAACCTCTAAATGTGAGAGGTTATCTTTTCTCATTAACAAACACAAAATCTCTGTCCTAGCAATCATTGAACCTAAAGCCTCCTCCTCTAAAATAACCAATTTCCAGTTAGATCTTGGTTTCTCCAACTCTATATTGAACTCTTCTAATAGAATTTGGATCATGTGGAAGGAGGAGGACTTAAACTACATATCCCACACAGACATGGGTCAGATCACCAATATTCTTTTCTTCAACAAAAAAGTCAGCAAGGATTTTCTTTTCTCAGCCATCTATGGCAAACACACCAAAGAAGAAACGAAAGATCTCTGGGAAGCTATTAAGACCTGTAGCCATAACTACCATTGTGATTGGATACTAGGAGGAGACTTCAATGCTATCTCCTCTATAGATCATCACAAAGGTAATAGTACTCCATGCCTCCATAGCATCCAGGACTTTGATGATTATGTTATGGATTGTGGTCTTCACTCACTGGTTCTCCTTTCACTTGGACAGGCACTAGGTCACTGGGCAGATTGTGGAAAAGACTTGACAGAGTCTTTATCAGCAGCCATTGTCTCAACAGTTTTGAGGACATTACCTCTCAACACCTTCCTAGAGGCACTTCTGATCACTGCCCCATCTTATTAAAAGCCTCTAACCCTATTTTCACTGGCCCTAGACCTTTCAGGTATATCAACTGTTGGTCTAAGAATCACACTTTCATAAAAGTCCTTGAAGGAAACTGGGGAAAATACTGTGGGGGAGGAATGAAAGGACTCATGGATAAACTTAGTAAGCTCTCAAAGGTTCTCCAGCATTGGAACAAAACAACTTTTGGCAACATCACTTCTACAGTTGAGGCCCTGGAAAAAGATCTCCAACAAGCAGAACAAGAATTTGATGCTAATCCTACCCCAGACAATAGAGCTTTCATGAATGAAAAAAGGGCCAACCTAATTCATGCAACTAAGAATGAATTTTTATTTTGGAAGCAAAAAGCAGGCATCAAATGGCTCAAAGAGGGTGACTGTAACTCCTCTTTCTTTCATGCCAAAATCAAGGAAAAAAGAATCCATCAAAAAATCCATAGAATCAAAGATTCTTATGGCAACTGGTTGGAGAACACCAATGATATCCAACATGAGGCAACTAACTTCTTCAAGGCCCTCTTCTCCAATCACAATTGTGAGGGCATGAACAAGTTCCTGGACAATATCCCTCTCCTAGTGGATGACTCAATTAACACTACTCTTACCAAACTCCCTACTGAGGAAGAAGTGAAAGAGGCAGTTTGGAGTCTTGATCCAGATAGCTCAGCTGGACCAGATGGGTTTACAGGAGACTTCTATAGACAAGGATGGGACACTATCAAGGAAGATGTGATCAAGGCTGTCCAGGAATTTTTCCTGGGAATCCCTATTCCCAAATCTATGGGGAAAACCACCATCATCCTTATTCCTAAAAAAGAAAACCCCTCCTCCTTTGATGAATATAGACCCATTTGCCTCTCCAATTTCATAGCCAAAATTAACACTAAAATTCTAGCTATGAGACTGGGACATTTCCTTCCTAACCTTATTTCTTCTGAACAAGGGGGGTTCATCAAAGGCAGACAGATTCATGATCAGATCCCGATTGCTCAAGAATTGATCCATGGAATCAACTACAAATCAAGAGGAGGAAATATTGCCATTAAGCTGGACATCTCCAAAGCCTTTGACAGAGTCTCTTGGGAATTTTTGGTCATGGTTCTTGAAAAGTTTGGATTCAGTGACAGATTTAATACCCTGATTCTTAACAACCTTAAATACACCTATCACTCTATCCTTATCAATGGCTACCCCTGCAAACCATTCCAACCCCAAAGAGGACTAAAGCAAGGTGACCCCTTATCTCCTCTCCTTTTTATCTTAGCTGCTGAAAGTTTCAGCAGAACCCTCAAAGTGGACACCAACAATGGGAATTTGAAAAGCTACAACATGGGCAGACACCTACTACCCATATCCCATCTTGCTTTTGCTGATGACTTGATTCTTTTCAGTAATGGATCAATTAGCAATCTACAGAAACTGGCTAAATTCCTAAAAGATTATGAGGTGGCTACTGGACAAGCTATCAACTTACAAAAAAGTTTCTTTTACACTCCTGACAAGACACCCACAGCCCAGGCCTCTAAGATGGGGAAAATCCTATACATGCAGAGAGGTTTCTTTCCCTTTAAATACCTGGGCACTCAAATCCACAGAGGAATCAACAGGAAAAACTACTGTGGGGACATTCTTGAACACTTTGATCAGAAACTCCAAGGATGGACTAAGCACCTGCTTTCCCAAAGTGGAAGACTTATCCTAATCAAACATGTTTTGAGTTCCATTTCTCTACATATCCTTGGAACCACCAAACTCCCTAAAAGTGTCACTACATGCCTCAACGGGAAAATGGCCAATTTCCTCTGGGGTTCCAAAGGAGACAACCATAAATACCACTGGCAACATGGAAGGACATCTGCAACCCTAAAGAGGAAGGAGGACTGGGCATTTATAATCTGGATACCCTTCAAGACTCCTATGGGTTGAAAATGTGGTGGAGTTACACTCACAAGAACTCCTTTTGGGCAAATTTCATCCACAAAAGATATCCCAAGGGATTCAATTCCCCACCCAAACCCACTGACTCCCCTATTTGGAAAAGGCTCCACCATATCAATGATACTGCCTATAACCTATTCCACCTAAACCAACACAACACCATTTGCTGGAATGAGGGCCACCCCGGCTTCAGTATAAAGAGAGCATACAATGCTTTGAGAGAGAAAAAACCCCCTGACAGATTCCTTGTCAACACCTGGAATTCTTATCAATATCCTAAAGTATCTCTCTTCTTATGGAAACTTTATAAAAACATCCTTCCTCTCCCTAATACACTAACACGTTTTGGCAAGAGCTTGCCCTCTATTTGTTTTCTTTGCAGGGATAATCAAGAAGAAGCAAATCATATCATGAAACAATGCAGTTACAGCAACCAAATATGGACCTACTTTGAACAGATTTTCAACATCCCTCACAGTACAACACATGGAATACGTGCCTACCTTATGACGTGGTGGAGAAACACAGAAATACCTAGAACTTGCAGAGTGTTCAAACAATGTGCCCCAGGGATCATCACATATGAAATCTGGAAAGAAAGAAATCGAAGAGTATACCAACAAGAATCAAAAACAGCATCACAGCTCATTCAAATGATCTGGAGAAAACTAATTGAATGGATACTCGGAAAAGGAAAAGGAAGGCTACCAAATCAAATTGAATGCCCAATCAGATTACTTCCCAGGATCAAAATTTTCAAATGGACCGGAGAGCGCACCACCCTCAACACGGACGTGTCAGTTGCCGGAGATTCAATGGTTGGCGCCGCTATTCTACGAACAAAGGAAGGAGAATTTCTTGGAGCAATGAGCTCCCGTTTGCAAACGCAGCACTCCTCTAAAGATGGTGACATGGAAGCAGCTATCATGGGCCTTAATTGGGCCATCTCAATCCAACATGGACCCATTGACTTGCACTTGGACTCCAAAAATGCAATCCGGAGAATAAATGACAGAATTGACCTACAAGAAACAAGCAGAGCAATCCAACAAATTCTCGAGCAAATCCAAGGCAATGCTAGACACATCTATCGAGAAGCAAATACTGCAGCCCATAACCTTGCCAAATTTTCCCAAAGAAATAATTATTTTCAATCATACACTTCTTTCAAATTGCTCCCAAAAACTGTTAAAGGAGCAATTCTTTGTGATCAAACTTGTACCATTCTTCGTTTTTAATTAATAAAATTTTCCTTTAAATAAATAAATAAATAAATATATATATATATATATATATATATATATATATATATATATATATATATATAAACCACACACACACATATACATATACATACATAAGACGTACCTTTATTATCAGATTCAGACACAGACACAGATGACGATTAGGAATGCGATGATTAGTTGCTTAATCAGGTCCAAAAAAAGCTCTTTTTCCATTTCAGCCAGGCCCAAATCAAAAGCACTTCATTCGCATACATCACTGCATAAATCAAACCATGCTTAGAGTCAGTTTAGCTACATTCCATAGCTAATTGTGTGTGTGTGTGTGTGTATTTTTGTGTTTTTTTTATTTAAACGAAGTTTTTTATTAGAAGTAAAAGAAAAGTACAAGGGGGTTGGCTGAGACCCCTACATAATGCCTTGCATCCCTAAAACACAAACAAAACAAAAATCCAAAAAGCAAAAGTCCAAAGATAAAGGCACAGTACAAAAGCCACGACCGGGTAAAGACACCAACAAGTCCAAACATCCAGCTTGTGTTGGTCAGTTCTTCTTGGATCAGCACCAGAGTTATAGTGGAGGGGTCCACATAAACGCCATTATTGTCCTCGGTGTCAAAGCAAGTTGAAGCATGCTTTGCCAGGACCAGATTCAATTGTAACACCTCTAATATACCACACAACAGAAAAAAAACCAAGGCCTCATCCTAGTAAAAGGTACCAGCAAGAAGAGAGTGTGAATAGGGGGGTCTACTGGCCTTAGAAAGCTTAGTGTGTAGCCCAAACTCAAGCTTTAGAACCTGTAACTCTATAAGTCTCCAAATGAAGCCTGTAAATTCTCAAGGGTGATGTAAAGTTGACCCACCAATCTTGATTGCACACTAAACAAGAGCTTAAAGCTTTTAGTCACCAATCAATAACCAAGCACCTGCTGATGACGACCAAAACCCAAAAAACTGCAACAAAATTAATAGAACAAACAAAAGCGGTTTCCCAGGACTTCAAAACCCCTGGTTCAATTCCCTTTGAAGGACCAAAACAACATAAAAGGACCAAGAAACTAGAAATAACCCCTGCCCAGAGTGTAATCCTAATCAATCCTGTTCACCGCATAAATGAGCTAGAACGACATTCATATCTTCTTTCGCATAAGCAAGGTACACCGGATACCTTGCACCTTCCATTGTTGCTGCATCAATATACTCAAAGCTTTTGATTACTTCTCTAGTAACCCTAACGACTTCCTCTGAGTAGTTGAGGATCTGTCCTTTATTGAGAGCATCCAAAAACTTTTTTCTAGCAATTGATTTCCTAAAGAGGTTCATGCACTACAAGAAAAATGCTCTATAGTGTGAGTACAATCCGTAGTTAAAACACAAAAAACCGTCATTAAAACATTTTAATGAGAGGAAAATTACTCTCATCGACCGTCATTATAGCCTCCGTAGCTAATTACATATAATGACGGGTTACAAGTCCTCTCATTAAAATTATTTAATGAGAGTATTTTTACCTTCATTAATACATAATGTTATATATATATATATATATATATATATATATATATATATAAAGAGAGAATATATATTTAAATAATATTTTATTAATATAAGAAAAGATAAATACAAGAGCATGCTGAGTAATGCCCACATCAAAATTCAAGAAGCAAAATCAAAAAAAAAAATTATGCTTTAATATATATACTCCAAATATGTTGGTACAAAAAGACTAAAACATCATAACTCTACTGACACCTATATATATAAGCTCAGGATCTCAACCTAGTCCAACAGCATATATGAAATTAAAAAATTCACTCCAAATGCTAAGTTCCAGGGCATGCTGCACCAACCACTGCCTGCAATGAGTATTATTCATCAGGACTTTTTATGATCTCCAGTTTGAAGAGCAACATTCTCTGGTGGGAGAGAACAGAATGGGTTGCTGCTGCGGCTGTGGATGCTGCATGTATCCTTAAAGTAGTCATATGATTCTTTTGCAGATTTCATTGCAAGACTTAGAGAAATAGCACACTTCATTACAAAACTTCAATGCAAATTTCTCCCTCTTACCATGGAGGCCAAGCATCCTTAGCTTCTGTGTCCGTTTTGAGGCTAGCTGGAAGAATAGAAAAAAAACTAACCATATCATAAACTAATAAACTACTTGATAGGTTCACAAGTTAAGATTCAGGCTGGGTGAAGGATATATCATAGTGAGTACCTCTTATCACGAACCACCCATCTCTGACCAACTCCAAACCTGACCTCCATTCCATTCATTGAGCCAAAACTGCCGCTTTTATCATAATCTGTTGGCTTTTCCTTTAGCCAGTATGGCCTGAAAAGCGTCAGTATTTAAGCTTACTTCTTTCTTTCGTTCTTTAATTTCTTTCTATCGTTTTTCCCCTTTGAGATCTTTAATGTGCACCTTGCTGGTGATTGGTGTGCCAGGACATATACTGAAAATTTAATGCCTGAAAATTTTGTGGTTCACCTAAAAATTACTTTGTGATATGTGGTTTTAGCACAGCAAACACACTTAAAATCACAAACAAAAACACACTTTAAAATCACAAACTTTGTGTAACGGACAAACATTTCACAGCAAATGCACGTTCGTGCACGCAAAAAAAATACATCATAACTTAAGCATTCTTTACATGTAGTTTGTGTGAGCACCGACACCATTCCAATCGCCCTGACCACGAAGGTGAAAAAAACAAACAAGAATAATCAAAGGATGCAATCCTCGGAGTAAGAGTTATGTTACAGTCACACCATGGATGCCACAAGTTAAAATAGTGAAAAAAGATGTAATTATTTACCTCAAGAATATACCTAGCTACACACACCTCATCACCAGCTGAAATGCCAAGTGATGGGAACTTTTCTAGAGCATTAGAAAGCATTTTCAACAAAGTAACCACCTGATTTAAAAAAGATCTACACGATGCTGTGTGTGCCAACAAAGTAACCACCCGATTCAGACAAGCAAATAAATGAAGCGGTAGCCATGATGTGTAAAACTATAGGGGTAATCTGTGTTCTATTCGATGATCATTATTTGGAGTAGATTGCAGACAACAAATAGGCAAAACAGTTTTTTGAAGATGGATACACGATGCTGTGTGCCAACAAGTTCATGAAGACTTGGATGATATTTTGTGGAAGTGTTTCTTTGCTATACAGGTTTACAAGCTTCGCATTCTATTATCTTCACTGTATGATCACCACTGGCATCATATATAACCAAAAATCTAAGGTCAATATGTAAAAATGTGTGAGTCCAAATTGTGTAAGTCACCACTGCCCTAATGTTTATGGTAGTGAGTCAAAAGGTTTTGAAAGAGGCCATGAGAAACAAGAACCCATAATTGCAAATTGAAAGGTTGACTATATTTTAAACCAAGACAAGCATAATATAAATATACACACATACCATTCTTACAATATGGGGTGAAAGGTGGGAACTTACTAAGTTGATGCAAGGGTTTTCCCGTCTGGACTAAATGCTGCTGCAATGGTAGATCGAGGGGGAGGCAGAAGGGGACAATACTTTGCTAATAAATTCCGTAATAATTCTGCCTCTACCCTGCAATAGTGGAAATAATCTATATCAGTGGAAGGCCAGACTAGTCATACATACAACACGTATAACGGGAATTTAGTATGTATCAGTTACCATGATATAAGACCTTTTTTGCAGAAACAGTACCAATGAAATAATAAAATGGCTTCTTTATATCATACCTGAAGTTTAGACATGTTATAGTTGATAATCCTTGTGAGAATTATAAGCATTATAGAACCTTAGAACCTAAAGACATTTGATGAAGGGCACGCTCTTTGTACTATGGGACAATGTGAAGCATCTACAAAAAAAGTATTTCATCTACATAGTATTCAATTAAGTAATAACAAAGAATACGAGAGTTCAATTACCAGTCTCTATATGTTATCATTGAAATAGAATTTTTGACTGAGTATAAAAAGGTCGATTATAAACTTGTCAATTTGGTTGGGCACCTTTTTAGAGCATTATAAAGCATTTTCAACAAAGTAATCACCTGTTAATTCATGAGAAAGACATAAGCAATAAACTGTTTTACCAACAAAGTTTGTTGTATAAAAAAATTTCTTAGCAACTAGGAACAGTGTAGAAAAGATAGGAAGCATCCACTTCACTAGTGACAAGAAGCATAAGTCAAAGAAATCACCAATTATTCATACATGGATACGCTTCATGTGATAGTAAAATGGCACCTTGATCATCAGAATTCATCACCTGATTTGAATTATGAAGCCCAACTAACATCAATGCCCACCTGCATAGTACCAACCTACAAGAATCTTCAAAACAGAATAGAAAAGACAAAGATGGAATTTCCCAGCGGGGCGGAGGGAGTAGAAAAGTTACAGTAATGTAGAATAACTGGATCACTATGAAAAAACCGTCCCACACCATGGCCAATGAATTGTTCCACAACACCATAATGATGTTTATTTGCAAGGTCACTGCATATGGAAAACTTAATGCAAAGCAAAGATGATATAGTTGTGGAACCTGATTCTATTTGTAACTTAAGTTTCTTAATTTCTTCAGTTATAATTGAGTTAAATTACTCAAAAACAAAATGATCATTATGGGTTTTTTGTGCTAGGGAGAATTTGGAAGATCGCAATCCGGCTTATTGGGGGTAAATGCCTAATTTGATAAATTACCATTTTGAGGTTGGTTAATCCCAATCAATCCAAACAGAGCAATAGAGCATTAGTAATTACAATGTGTATTATGATGCCTTCATTGATTCATCAAATACGCAGATTTCACGCTATCTAGAGGGAACACGCCGGTCCACCATAGATTTCCAGCGGGAGGGACGGCAGTACTTATAAGTGACAGAATTCCCATTTGTACCCCTCCTATAACATCTCCAACTCATCGCAGTTAGAATAAGTGACAGAAGTCCCAAAACATATACACAAGCACACCAAGCCTAAAAACCAGCTCTTCGTTTAAGTTTTCGAACTAAAACCATAAACCAGCCCACCCAAAAGCCAGCTTCTAAAACCCAAAAGCCTAAAATTGAAAGCCTAAAACCAGTACCCGAAAACCAAAGAGCATCCCCCCAAAAGCAAGCTGCTCAAAACAAACACAATATGTTGAAAACCTAGCTGCCAAAATAAGCAGATGTTGAAAACCAAACACCAAAACCTAGCTGCCAAAATAAGCATCTCCAGGACTATAAGCATCTCCAAGATAAACAAATGTTGATAACCTAGCTGCCTAAATAACCTAGAAGCAAAAATAAGCAATCCCCTCTAAAACCTAGCTTCCAAAACCAAAATAAAAAACATCCACCTCAAAACCAGATGTTGAAAACCAAACACAAAGTACTTGGCCAGTATTACGCCACCTTAAAACCAGAATTAAGTCAGTACAGAAGCTAGTAATTTCATAAATACGAAGTATTTAGGTTGCTCAAACAAATACAAAAAAACATTCAGGAATGGCCACAAATGCTGCCACAGAATCAAACTTCAAACCCAATTGATGAACAAATTGCACCAAACTTTATAAACAGAATGGATTCAAACAAAAGCAAAGTCAAATATTATGGATCATTGAATCAGAAAAGCGATTAGATGCTCAAACCCTCATGAGGAAATTAACCAAAATCATATCATACTGGGTAAAAACTTAAACATTATAACCTGATTTGGGAAAGAAAATTACCTGGAATTGAGTAAGCGAAAGACACGGAAACGAGTGGCGGACGGAGCTCTTGTTCCTCGTCGAATCCCTAGAAACAGCAGGGAGAGGTCTCTGGTCGAATACTGCTGGTCGTCTAAAGGAGTGGCTGAGGGAGAGCTTGTACGCAGGCGGCAGCGGCAGGAATTTGCACGAGATTGTGAATCTGAGGAAAAAATTTCACCAAATTGGATTGCCGCTGTATTTTTTAGGCGAAAATGGAGAAGGGAAGTTAGGCGGCAATCCCAATTGTGATTGCCGCTGTATTTTTTAAGGAATTATAACTATTTATAAACAATTTCATTTTTTAATATATTTTAGTTTGGCCAATTTAGAAATATATAATGAGAGTATTAACTTTAAAACAAGAAAAAAAAAAAAAATTGGTCACTAAAAGTAACACCTTTTAACTAGGGTTTTTTCCCCTCATTAAAAATATACAAATAACACATTTAATGAGAGTATTATCAACCCGTCATTATTGATCCGTAACTAAAAGTCCTTTTTCTTGTAGTGATGTTATCTTTGATAACTTGATGAAAAATATCCAGACATCCCTGGTCTAAAGGAACCTCTACCAATGGAGTGTGCCCTTGCAAACTTTCCATCTCTTCCTCCATAGTGAGGTTAACAATTACCCTACTTTCAGTATTAATCTGTTCTTCATCACATATAGTAGCAGAAGGAACTCCATTATAGCATCTCCACCCCTCATCCTTGCAAATTTTAACCAGCCCAAGACCTTCTTGAATTGGCAGTGGCTTTGGCAGGTGATTATTTAATTCCTTTGAGTTCCTCAATAATTCAGATAGACCCTTACTGAAAAGTTTAAGCCCCTCTAAATATAAACCAGCAGGAATGATAATCTGGTTAGGCAAAGACCCTGTTTTTGACTCTATACGTGCAAACTGTCCAAACCGATTTGAATCCCAAGAGACTTTGACAGAGAAATCTCCATCATATCTAGATATTTCCCAATTTTCATTTGAGAAATCACGCCTGGTAAAAATATCGACCAACCAGTGTGCAATAGCCCAAGAGATTGTTAAGAATCGAGTTTTACCTGATTTAGATTCTGAAATTTTGATACACTGCCCTTCAGGTGAAATTTCAAAGTCTTTACTCTCAATTGATAGAGTAACCTGACCATCTGCGCTGATATTTGGACCCGAGTTCGAGCGCCTCCAATATCTTCGTCTCTCAGGTTTCTTCCAGATCCTCGCTGTACGAAATTGAAGTGGCTCGCCATAGTATCTGGGTCGGCGTATATCCCTTACCCGTTGCCGGAGAGAACCGCCGCCATCCTCTCTCTCTCTAAAATCCCTAAACGCCATCCAATCCTATATATATATATATATATATATATATATATATATATATATATAAGCATGACATTCTAATTAAGTAAGGAGGGAGAATGGTTCTAATTAAGCATGTTCTTAGTTCTATCCCTCTACATCTCCTTGGCTCTTCTAAACTCACCAAGAGTGTTATCAACTGCCTTCACACTAAGATGAGCAATTTTCTATGGGGCAACAAAGAAGGGAAAAATCATTATCACTGGAAGAAGTGGGCTGCCCTTTGCTGCCCAAAAGAGGAAGGAGGTCTGGGTTTCACTAACCTTGAAACCTTACAGGAAGCATATGGTCTTAAGATGTTGTGGAGCTATACTCTCAATAACTCCCTCTGGGCCAGGTTTATGCACAACAGATACCCAGTAGGTCTGGAGACAACTTGCAAACCTACTGATTCTCCTAATTGGAAGAGACTCCTTTCAGCAAAAACCATCGTTGATTCCTATGAGAATAACCCCTTCTAGGACACCCACTCTGGTTTTATTATCAGGAAAGCCTATGAAGCTCTGAGAGAGAAATCCCCCACAGAAACATTCCTAAAATCTGTGTGGCATAAAAAACAGATCCCATCTATTTCTATCTTCCTTTGGAAAATCTACTACAACATCCTCCCTTTCCCTAAACAACTCACCCGGTTTGGGCAAAACCTTCCTTCTATGTGTCTTTTTTGCAGGAAAATTGAAGACAATGCGAACCACACACTCAAGGATTGCAGATTCAGTAAAAATATCTGGGCACACTTTGAATCTAGTTTCAAGGTCACGACAACTACAACACATGGAATTTGCTCTTACCTGTCGCTCTGGTGGAGGAGCAATAGTGTTGACCAGCAAAGTCAAGCAGAACGCAAGGTGATTCCAGGTATCATAGCGCACGAAATCTGGAAGGAGAGAAACAGAAGAACTTATGACAACGAATCAAAAAACGAAACCCAAATCATCCATATGATCTGGAAAAAGTTGCTGGAATGTGTTAGAATAACAGACCAACGCTAGAGGGGGGGGGGTGAATAGCGTTTGATCGAAGAAATCGCAGGAATTAAAAAATTAAAAGAGAAGTAAAGAGAAGAGTAAGAGGCACACCGAATTTTACCCTGGTTCACCACAACTTGTGGCTAATCCAGCCTCCCGAGAGACTCTCTCGAGCTACACTACTAACTCGTTAAGCTTACGGGTGCTTAACAAACCGTTACAACTTGAGAGTTCGAGTCACACGAACCTCAATGAATCCTTCAAAGGAAACAGACCTTCCTTTGAATCAACCGAGAGAGATACTATCTCTCAACGTGTCTAAGAACACAAGTACACTCAAGAACGAGACTCTCTTATAGAGTAGATTATAAGTAAACTAAGTACGCTCAAGAACAACTCAACCTTCACACACAAATGGCTCTAGAAAGTTATGGAAAATGATGATATTTGAATGCAATGAAAGTATAGATGTTGTGAAGTGAATTGGTGAGAAAAGAAGACCCAAACACCCCTTTTTATAGTGCCAAAGAAGGCTCCAACGGACCAATGCATTAAAGGGGTGATTAGCTTGATTTGTGGGATTGAAAAGATTTGGGATCTGTAGAATATTGGCTTCCCATCGATGTTTAGGACTTACCCATCGCTGGTAAGCCAATTTCCCTTCAGATTTGAAGTCAACGGTCACCTACCCATCGATGGGTACAAGCTTCTCATCGCTGGTTGGGAGGTTGACTTCCAACCAAGGAAAGAATCAACCTTAAATGACCTGCAACGGTCATGGCTTCCCATCGATGGTTTACCCTTACCATCGCTGGATTCCCATCGATGGGATAGGTCTCCCATCGCTGGGCAAGGTTGTTCTGCCTTGTGATAATTTTGCACCAGGGCTTTAACAGCGATGGGTAGAACTCCCCATCACTGTTTGGCATGGTTCTGGAAACTGGTTTGGCTGAGGGGCCGCTTACCCATCGATGGGAAGATCTTCCCATCGCTGGGTAGGTGGTTTAGTCAGGAACCCATGGTTTTTGCCTTAACCACGCCCTAGCCAACCGATGCGAAAACCGACCGAAAAATTCAAAGTTCTCCAAAATAAAAACCAAGTGTTCAAAATACTTATTTGATGCATTTGGCTAAGAAATCAAGTAAGACACTTTAAAACCCACGTCATTTGAGTGAAAAACACGGCTAGCCAAGTTAATGCCGTTTTTGAATGATTTTTGTCAAACGACCAAAAACGAAAGATGATTTTCAAGGTGTTTTTGTTGGAGAACCGTTTAAACATGCCAAAGAGTGAAAACCAATCATAAAAAGTTGAAAACCACTTGGTTGGTTCGGACGCCAAAAACCATAGCCGATAACCGAGAGCCGAACGCCGGTTTCTGAAACCCGAACGCCGGATGGCTTGGTTTTTGGTTTGGGCGAACACCAAGTGTTTTTAATGACTTAAACATGTTTGAAAAACTTTTTTTATGATTTAAGAAATGTAATGAAGGATTTTAGCCTAAAGAGCCAAGGTGTAAAGATTGG